TTTTGTTTAAGATCAACGCAGCCCAACATTGTCTTGGTAGGAAAGTCTCGAGGGCTTCTGCTCTCTAGCCAGACTGAATATCTGTTTCTTGAAGAATGACAGAGTGTGCCAATAACCACCACTTGCACTTCCCAAATAAAGACCTTGGGATCAAGTACTGTTGGCCTTCTGGTACGTTTTAAGAATGGGGCCTGTTGCCGTCAGTGTCGCAACTGGGTTGTGAATTTTAATAGAGTTTTGTTTGTTTCACGAGGAGAGGCCATTTATTTTACACCTGGTGCATCGCCAATGAGAGTCAAACAGATCTCACAAGTATTTCAACTGAGTTTGAAAGCCTGAGATGGAAAGTCATACAGTGCAAAAGGGCCCCTAAGTATAATGCTGGAAGGATAGGCTGACATCTCACAAGGAAATCTTGATAGGTATCGAGTTATCAGGATTGTTTGCCGTAGTTCTAAATGTTGGCCACACAACACAAACGTAATCTCTCTGCTCTGACTGTGGTCTGTTTCCATCCAGTGTTCTGTAGTATTTTGACAGATGACCACTTCACCCTAATCTTGTTTCCCCTGGTAAACAGCTGCCTTGGAGCGGAGAAAATGATATTCACTGCCACATAACTACATTATCTTCTCCAGTAAATTAGATATCACAACATCGAGAAAAGCTGTGCTGCATGGAACAGGTTGAAGCTGTATTATTTAACTAAAATTACATTTTCCTAGGACACCAAACACCACCCAGTTTCAGGGCACCCAAGTTCAGTGAAGTTGGCTCACTTGCAGCACTGACATCAGAGGTTATTGACATCAAATCGACACCATACTGATGTACTACGTCTTCCATTCTCTTCTTCCAGGATCTCTGAGATCTCTACGGATTATTGTTTCATCCTCAAGATGTGGCCATTTGACATTTGAAAGTTTTCTTATTTCCAAAAAAGGCAAATAACAATACAATTAGAAACATTACATTTTTTAAGTGTACCTTTCTGATAATCTGTAATATTTTCACCTCTGTATAACATTACTTTTGCAATGTAGTGCTGCCTAGTACCGTATATTATCCATAGTCACTGTCTGACTCTTATAGAAATTTGACAGGTATTCCTGTAGTGTTACTGTAAATCCTTTTCCTACAGGAACGTTTTCTTTGTCATTTTAAAATATTAATAAAAAATCCTTCAACCAGGACTTCAAATATTCATTTGTCAGGTTTAGAATATTTATGCATGTACAGTACTTTGCAAAAGTCATAGACTACCCTACATTTATTCAGTTTCCAGTCAAAATGTGAGCTGGACAAGTATAAGCTGTTCATTTTTCAGTATCATGAAAAAAAGGTACAAAACATGTTTAACAGAAAATTATATAGAAGCTGGTTGCACGGTGACACTGTGTGGAGTTTGGATGTTCTCCCTATGTCTGAGTGGGTTTCCTCCCACAATCGACCCTGTGACGGACTGGTCGCCTGTCCAGGGTTTCCTGCCTTCTGCCCACAGAGTGTTGGGATAGGCTCCAGCGAGCCAGGAGGAAAAGTGGCTTAGAAAGTGTGTATATTGAAGCCTCAACAACCTAATATAGCAGTATTCTTTCATTATTTAGTGTATCTACCTTTGGGCTTTATTACAGCTTCCATTCTTTTTGGGCAACCACACCTCCAAAGTTCAGTCTTAGAAGTTGGTTGGCTTTTCTGCTTCTCACCATCCAAGTAATGCCAAACATATTCAGTGATGGTGAGGACTGGACTCTGGGGTGGTGAATCCATTGTCCTGAGAACACCAGCAGCTCCTTAGTTTGAATTGTGTTCTTTTGCCCATTTCTTTATCTCTCTGTCACAGCTTCCTGACAGCTACACATCCTTTCAGACTCATAGCATTAAGCTATCTTATCATAGTGGAAGAATGGACAGAAACATTTGTGGATTTTTTCAGATCTGGATCAAGAGTGGAGTTTGATTTTCTCCCAAAGATGAAAGCTTTACTGTTTATCTGATGATGAGTTTTAGTGGTCTACCAGGTTTTGCATGGCTGTTAGGAATCTTACTATATTATTTGTAATCTTATAGTACTTTTTTTTTATCGCCCGTTTCGGAAACTCCATATGCAGTCTTGTATTTTGTTATATTTTACATCTCCTGAACAAAATGACTTGTATTTAAAGGCCGTTTTGGCTGGAAATGAAATAAATGGCGGGTGGTCTACTGTATGGTTCTACTGTATACTTGGACCAGGACTGAGAACCACTTATCTGGAGGTAATGCTAAATGCTGAAAACAATGTAAGTTGCTGTAACCTCAATGGATTGCAAAACGAAAACATGCAAACATTATACAATATATTGAAACAATACAGCACACAGTATAAACATATACTATTTTTATTCCTTTTTCTTCACTGTGTAGGCTGAAGCTCTCTCCTATTGCATGGCAGCCACCAACCTGGGAGTTAACCATTTAAGATAATACCACCAACTAAAGTCCACTTTTGGCTCCACAAGATGAACTGCTGAAATGGTGCCATGTCTGCCCCAAGTCTGGCTCTGACTTAAATAAAAGAAAACATGGCAAATGCACATATAATGCATTTCAGTATTATATGTCTTTGGCACAGCAGTACTATAAAATGGCCTGTAAGTTGCAGCAGTTTCTGATTGCAGCTGTAACAAACAGTGGTATTCAGACCATTTAATCTTTTGGCAAAGCAAACAGCCTTACCTGGTGTGCAGAAATGGCCTATGAAATACGTCAGATACATTCTCTCTAGAGTTCTAGCTCTGCTGTAATTATCTGACTGGATTGAGATAGTGATCATTCAATTCCTTATAAGGTCATAACTAGTTTATTTTTGGAGAATTTCAGCAAGTCTAAAGCTGTGGAATAGAATTACGGTATAATATGATCTTTTTTTTTTATTTTGTCCAGATGGTTCCATTTCCGTTTTCCAGTTTTATCTCTGATGTTTTTGCTGTGCTGTCTCTCAAGAGGCTGGGATGGCTTTCCCCATTCACACTGCAGGTATGGTCTCTGTCCTTATCTGATTTGGCACGGGGCCTGACGCTTGTCTGTAGGCCAGGCCTGCTTCTTCTCTGGGGCCCTGAGGGACCCCTGTCCCCCATCCACCTTCTGCTAACAGGAAATGATCCGTCTCCAGAATAGCCAGTGGGCCATGGAGGCATGTGAGTCAATCTTCACCTAGCCATGTCTCGGCTTTGGGAGGTCATGAGGCTTCGTATGGGCTCTGCACCGCATCAATGTGTCATCAATTCAATATGTGAAAATATACCCTAAATATTGCAAAGCACCCGGTTGTGAGTTTGAGCTCCTAGTTCTGGTTCTTCCTGGATGTGAGGTTGCCTCAATCCATTATCCACCATCTTGGGTCTGAGGGTTCCTGATGCTCCTCTTTTGTGTGGGTTTCAGCACTACATCTGGCCTGCTTGCTTCTTTATTGTGTAACTAGGCCCATCTGATGGTGGCTGCGTTCCAGAGGGGCTGGTGGGTCACTGCAGGTGTTGAGGGACAGGCAGTGGTTTGCAAGCAGAAAGCGTTTGCTTAACCCTCCTATTAGGGTGGAAGAATGTCAGCTATGGAGTGACTTGGCCATCCTGACAGCATCGTTTGACACCTCGGCAATCTGTCACGGCAGTGGCAGTGCATGAACAGACAATAGCAGCTCGGCTTGCTCAGGGCCTATTCTCAACACCATCTGCTGGAAGAACTTGTGTTCTCACACTTCTTCTTCTTTGTCTGGGTGCAAACATGCTTGCTAGAGCGCAATGGGACGAGAGTGAGGCAAGCTTAATGGTGACCTTAAAGGGCCTGCATCATGGAAAAACTAATTTTCTCCACTTTTTTTTAAAATAAAAGAATTTTGTGTAATTTGTCATCAGAGTTTCAAAATGCACTCCCCCAGTCCATAAAGTCCATATATGGGAACTAAGCTAAGAAACAACACAATTGCATATATCTACTCTATTCAGCCTACAACACTTTGGGCCCACTCATTGGCATTGAAGTTATAAGGAGTTTTTCAATCTGGCCTCCTTTTGGAATGAGGCACACTACAGGACAGCCAATCAGAAGATAGATCATTCACATATATCAGTTTCTTCAAGGCATAGTAACAAAAACAGCCTGTTGAATTCAAAGAGATAAAGAGGTTGGAAAATGGTTATGTAAAACAAATTATGTCTATTTTTGGTACTAAAATACAATAAAATGTTAGAATACGGACCCGGTAAACGAACGTTTATACATACAAACACAGGGAAAAACATGCATGACCTACAGTATTGTGCAAAAGTCACTGTGTTATTTAGCTAAACAACTAAATTTAATATCAAATCTTGAGTATTTAGTGTGTCCACTCTTTTCCTTTATTACAACTTCTGATTTTTTCAGAAGACTCACTTGTAGCATTTCAAAGAAATCTGCAGGGATATTTTTCCACACCTCCAAAGTTCAGTGTTAGAAGTTGGTTGCATTTTGTCTTTCTCACTGTCCCAGTAATCCCAAAAACATTGAGTGATGTTGGTGGTCAGTCCATTGTTTTCAGAACACCAGCAGCTTTTTTGTTTAACAAATTCTTATCTTTTTTGTCTATTTTCTTTTCTCAGTAAGAGCTTTTTGACAGCTACACATCCTTTCAGACTTTCAGTGTTGAGTTGTCTTCTCACAGTGGAAGGATGGACAGAAACACCTGTGGATTTTTTTTCAGATCTGAAGCAATCTTGATTTTCTCCTCTTTCTCAAAGATGAAAGCTATTAGTACTGTTTACCTGACGGTGGAGGTTTTGGTGCTCTACCAGGTCCTGTATGGCTGTTAGGAGTCCTATTGTTTCAATACCTTTACTTGAACTTCAGTTTTGGAAACTGAAAAATGAATAACTAAGTCTGCAACAGCCATTTTGACTGGAAAATAAATCAATCTCTGACTTTTACATGGTACTGTAAATGGACACCAGACTCAAAATGATTAGCCCAGAACGCGAGACTTCGGTGCATCACATGCATTCTTTTATTTAGACATCACAAAATTCTGAATGTTACAAAGAATGAAGTGTTTAAATAAAATGACAAATGTAACATTTTTACGAGGTAATAGTAGAGTCTTTGAAGGCAGTCTGCACTAGTATCATTATTATTTCAGTTACTTCTGTAGAGCAGAGCGTATCATATGGCTCTGAGAGAATAAAAAACCCTCTTTCCTCAGGAAAGCAATTTTACACAAACACACATTAAATTACAATATTTTACGTATGCTAATAAACGTCATGCTATTGTTTAATATGCTCCAGATGCTTATGGCTTTTCTATACAATGACCTGTTTTCAGTAACACGAAACAGATAAGTGCATGTAGGTGTTCCGTGCTGATAGTTACGCAGTAGAAGTACGGTGCACTAAAACGAGTCGTTAATTTTACTGTCCTTCAGCCGGGGCCTATTAAAAGAGTGTTTTCAAACTTCACTGATGAAAGAAAAACAGACTGGAAATGAATGTGTGTTTCCTCAGATCAGTTAGAGAGTGTGTGTGTGTGCGTGTGTGTGTGTGTGTGTGTGTGTGTGTGTGTGTGTGCGTGTGTGTGTGTGTGTGTGTGTGTGTGTGTGCGTGTGTGTATGCATGGTGGTTCGCAAGCTAAAAATACAATCTCACCACAGTCCTGCCAAGTTCCCAAAATAGACTGTAAAGACATACAAAAGAGATAAAATAATCTTTATCGCATACTAAAACAAAACATTCGCACTGTATCCTTATTTAAGCAGCAATTATATACATTTGCAAATTATATACATTTGCAAAAAACAAAAAGAAATAATGATTCAACACAATAAAATGTTACCTGTAGAGTATATAAAAGTAATGTACAGTACCATCTGTCTTCATTATTTTTACTGATGTAAGAGCCAACAATAGTTTCATATGCAATGATTCTCACCTTCAGCACTATGTTTCTCAGCTCTAGGATGGGAGCCTGCACTCCAGACTTTTGGGTTTTCCTGCTGTAAAATATCTGATTAAAGTGAATTCCAGTAGAGAAGTCACTAACCTGTGCAGTGCAGGTCCAGGACTGAGGAAGAAATGACTAAATATACAAGCAATTCCTGGCAAATAAACTTGTTTACACATGAAACTGCAAAGAGGTTTGATTTTTAGTACATTTGCATGATTTGACCCTTAATTTATTTGACTTTTCACATAAATTCTTCTCAAATGTAGCTAAATTGTAACTGGGATAAGCACTCATACTGTACCTCTGAACCCTGGCCTGTATTCACATTGTAATGGCTAGCTGAAGGTCACTAAAGGTCAAAGGCAATAATAATAATGCAGCTATTTGAACTCTGAAACAAACGCCATCTGGCAAAAGTACCGTCAGCTGAACTTTCTGTAGATTCAAATTTTGACTTTTCTGAGCTGCATGCTTTGCTTTTTCTCTTTTTTCATGAGAAGTATGTACAAAGAAAAACATTGTGTAGGTATAAAAAGTGTAACAATAGAAAATAATGTATTCATGTCCCAAAGGTAATTGTGCAACACAGTTTGTTAAGAAACATTAATGGCTCACTTTTGGTTTTCAGAAGATTCCAGCTGCTGCGAGTTCACCAGCGAGCCAAATAAGCCAGAGGCTTTGCAGATGGGCAGCATCGTCCAGTCTGCTCCCTTCAAAGGTGATGTGCCTGCCTCAGTAGTTCACAGGGCACGAGTGACCCACCAATGCCACTTGAGCTCATATCTCTGATATATAAAAATAAAAACCAGCCAAGAACGCTCCCCGAAATTCCCAGAGAGCTAACCCTCTGCTGTGAGCTGCAGGATAATAATAGGTCACCTTTCTTCTTTGCTCAATCCCTGTTTCCATGAGCAGTGGGTTACTCACGGAAAGTGAAGTGTCACACAATCCAAGTGTTGTATATGTTGCTGAAAAAGTGTCATTTGATAGCGTAGCCCTTTTTCAAGAATGTTCCCACCTGCACTGTGGGTGAGGGAAGATTTCTATGAAATGTCCAGTGGTCGGATCATCATGGTGGTTGTTCGGAGAGAGTAACTCGGGCCTTTGAAATAGTGCCACTTGATGCCGTTGAGCTTGCCGACATGTTGACCTTGGGTGTAGTACATCCCATTCAGGTTTGACGGGCCGCAGGCATCAAACCACCAGCCTTAAGAGTGGAAGAAACAAAAAGGTGAATGAGTAAGGTCCCCATTAGCTGGTCAGTGCTGAGTCCTGAAACTGAATGGTACAATCTAAATACTCAAATGGTAAAGAGAGTGAAGTAAGCAAGCCAGTTATCACTGTTATATCAAAAACCTTATAACCTTGTATCCCATTACATTTTGTGAACATTTAATGATGAGTGGGCCAATAGAAATAGTCCAAAATGATCTAAATATACCCTTTTTACAGTAACATACACTAAAGTTAAGTATGTTTTATTTAGATGAAGGCCTCTGTTCTAGACCATTCTTGTCATTGTTCTGGGTGGAAAACTGTTGACAGAGTGGACTGGTTGCCAGTGGTCAGTGTGGTATAGGTGAAAAGTGAGTGGCAGTTCATAGTGTGCAACAGGTTTGGAACCTAATAAGCTTCCTAAATTTGGAATTGAAATATCTGGGCAGAACACTAGAGGAGAGGATAGTATACAGTTCAAACAGAAGGTCAACATTTACCGCTGTTTGCTAGTGATCATCAGAAATGACTATTTTCTACTTGCCAAGTTAAAATTCCAGTGCCAGAGTATTTACTCGCTGTGAATATGGAAACTATTTTAGAATGCTTATGGTTGATGAAGACAGATTTCGCCTTTTTTTTCCAGATATCCAGCTTCTTTGAAGCTGACAGATTGTCTTTATGATAATTCCAGTAGCATCTCAAAGCCAAATGCGTGACATAAATCCTTTGGACTTACATTGTATATTAAATGTTGTAGCACGCACACTTTAGGGGAGACAAAAAACAGCTGGATATGAAAGCTAGTAGAAACAATTTTGTATTCCTGAAGGATACACAGACTGCAAGATAAATTGATATAAAGTCATGTCTTCATGCTATTCATGCAGCAGTTTAAAGGCAGTTTGCTAGCACTTTCTGTGAATGTAATGTCTGTGAGAATCCATTCATAACACATTATAACACATTTAGCAGTTTCATAACACATTATAATGCATTTTAAGACATAAAAGACATTACTAAAAATGCATTATAGCCATGTTAATTATGCATGTATATAGATTATGCATATAATTCTTTATGACTAGGGTTTATAACATGTTACACTGACAGTGCCAAAAGCCACTTGTTTCCATCTTGCATTGCAGTATGACTAATAAACACATGCTGAGCAACAACAACTTCTAAATTAAAAGCATAAATTTAAACATAAAAACATCTAAACTGAATAATAGGGTGGGAATCTCTAGGCACCTCACGATTCGATTCGATTACAATTCAGAGGGCTGCGATGCGATTATAAAACGATTATCGATGCATCTTTTTTTTCTATACAGGATTTCTATTTTCCTACTGTGTGAGGACTCGGTAGTTTTAAAGCAAAGTACTCGTAATGATCCATAACGCATTTACTTCCAGTATCTTTTATTAATAAATCAAATGGAAGTGATCTAGAAGACTCAATCAGTGCTCTTGAGATGCTGCTGCCACTCATCTGCGATTAAATGCGCATCCTGTGGTAATGGATGTCCACGTAGCACGATACAGCCGCCCTGCCCGTTTAATTCAGTGATTTTATAACTTCAGTTTTGGTCTCGTTGTATTGTGGTCACTGTGTCAGTAAAATATTTTTGACACTGCACGCTGAATCTCTGCTCCAAAGTGTGCAGAATAGCGCGAAAGCCCTGGTTCTCCACGACTGAGAAATGGCATGCAGACTGTAGGTCACATAGCAGCGAAGTCTCGCCTCGCTAGTAGCGAATGAAGAAGCAAAGAGAGAGATTTAGCTAAGACATTTGGAGACGAGTGGACTTTTCGCATTTATATGCGGCGCAGTTTCCTGGAACGTTAAATCTGCAACGAGAGACTGTCAAACACTAAAAAGTTGCGTAGATGAACCCGCTTCTCTTTCGAAATTTCCCGTTCCACCTTAAATGGTGCAGCAGTTACATTCGGCGCCTCAGGCACAATTTAAGGTGGAACGGGAAAATTCGAACGAGAAGCTGGAGAATAAGAAGCGACTTCAGCCTCGTAAAACAGTTGAATGCTGAGAGACATTTTAGAAGAAACTGATCTAGTTTCGAAGAAAAGTTTTTTGGCGGACATTGGCTGTAGCTGAGCTAAAGCTTAGAGCGGAATGAGGTAAATCTGCGCTCTCGTTTATATTTTAGCCTATATTAAGACATCAGCACACCCTGAGACATACTAGACAATAAATGTTGTGGCTCCCAAGCTGGTTTGATTTTTGCTTAAAGGACAAAATGGCGTTCCGTCAACATTATGGAATAAATAAAATATTTAGAAAATCGATTTTTGACATTTATGCGATGCATCTAAGAATCAAGTTTTTCCCGCACCCCTAATATATATATATATATATATATATATATAAAGATATTTAAGCCCCGGATCTCCAAAATTGATAACTTTTCAGGTAAAGGAAAAAACATACTTTATTTTCAGTGTAAGTCAATGGAACCAGATATTTCTCCAAGTCATTTTGGGCCATATATATATATAAGCTCCCACTGTATAAGCTCCCACTGTAACTGTAACATTGATAATGAGAAATATTCTGTCTACATGTCACTCTGGCACCAGGCACTGGATTTCACTCAGATTCGAGTATTTATCTTCTAAGCTTGCCTCAGTGCAGCATGAATGAGCTGGAATTGCTAGTGGTTTAGCCTTCTCGCTAAGCTAACGGTAGCCTCTGGCGCTAACAAGGACATAAAATAAAAATAATTCAAGCTAACAGCTTCCCACACAAAAACTTAGGTTTTTATTCAGATTTGAGTCTTTATTCTCTAAACTTGTGTCAGTCTGGCCTCAATGAGCTGGAATGCTCCTGTGTTGTTGTGTGTAAAGCTTAGGCCTTCTCTCAAAGCTAGTGCTAGCTTCTAGAGAATGTGGTCAAACATGGAGCAAAAGTAGCTTATGCTAACATCTCCACAGACAAAGGTTTACTCACTCAGATTTGAGTCTTTATCTTCAAAACCTGTGTCAGTGAGGCTTCGGTGAGCCAGGTAGAACCTGTGCTGTGGTGAAACTGTTGCATGCTAAGCTACTGCTTTAGCATGCTACCTACTAGAGGTCAGTGCCTGGGCCCCAATGGCCAACAACTGCTACGGGAAGCAGTATGAGTCCTGCAATTGACCCCCTGACAAAGTCCCCATGACCTTAACCATTTAACAAAACACATTTTTGGGTGCAGGGGGTCTTTAAATAAATCATGACGTGGAATGGAATAACAGCTTTTCATCATTTCTAATGAACTGTAACATGTCTTTGCGAGCTTCAAGTAAAGTGATGATTTAAATACTTGTCATTATAGATGTAGATTATTATTCGATATTTGTCAGCTATAAGTAAAGTGGAACATCACAAACTATGCACTGTGCACATTGGAAGCAAGTTACTTGGCACAATATAACGTCTTATGAGCACTATTTATAATGAATTATGTGAACCCTTCATAATGCATGGTTATAAAGTGTAATGCATATTTATAAATATCTATAGACATGTTTATGATTGCTTGTCTATGCATTATAATGTATGGTGAATGTGTACATAGTTTCTTGCTAACCATGCAGAAGTTTAAAGGAGCTTTTTGCCTTCATGCTGCTTTATTTACTGTAGCTTTGTCTTGAAAACTTGTCACTTCACAGTCCATTAGACTCAGCTCTGTTGTGGTGGTCATACTCACGCATACGCCCACAAACACATACTGACACAAAGAGAGCGACACACACTCTCCACTTGCAGTGCCAGTGTGCCCGTTGTGGCATGTCTCACTTCTGTGAGAGCTTGGCCCCTCTTCACAAGCTCAAATACCACTGTCGTCTGTGACATTTCAACAGACTTCCAAAAGCCAAGTATGCTGCCCTTTTATTGGCTTGGCCCAATCCAACAGAGCTCTCTGATTGGATTCTTATATAGCTTGTTACCCTGGTCATTTATTTCAGGTGTCTGATTAGGTCATGACTGTGGTCACAGATTGTGGTCAGAACTTTGTGACCTTGTTAAATCATCAACAGCAAGGAAAGGGCAGCAGGACAATGTGGACGGCTAAGAATAAACCCGACTGAAATGTAAACAAAGTACTTTCATTGCAGTGTCTACAGTGAAACATACATGAAAAGTCAAATATGCAAATATGCCTAACTGACCTATCCATGCTTTGCCCACAAATGCATACTTTGCTAATAAATGTTGTGAGATTGGACAAACTTTCGATCAGCTTTATTAGAAATTGTAATTACTGGCAAACTACTTGCATTCACAATGTGATATTAATATTAAATATATTTATTTAGTATGCATGTGAAATGTCCAGCTCTTAGGGTTGATTGGGTGTTTTTTTTATTTTGTTTTGTCATGTAATGATGCTAACGTTAGCATGCTGGCAAATCTGATGTTATTTCCACACTGTTTCAGTGAGCTATAGCAACAAAGTGCAGCTCGCTAATGTAGCATTTTAAACTAGAAACCAGAGATTGAGACTCAAACTGCATGTTGACTGACTTAAAACTTAAGACGTAGATTGCGTAGATTGCCTTTAACTGCCTTGTGACTCGACTTGGACCTAAGACTGAAAACGTGCGAATGTTCAACCTGAGGAAAAAAAACCCCACAAACAAAACTGATTAAATTATGACTGCCAACTTTAATGCAGTAAATTTATAAAACTTTTCTTTTCTGACCTTTTGTGACTTTGCCTGTCAGTTTTTTCACACTCATGCACAGTCATTACTCCAGTTCTGTTCTCCTACAGCATGCAGTAGTATCAGGTTTGATATGGTTTTAAATAATGAGCCATTCATTATAGAAAAAAACCTTCAGTGGAACAGAATTCAGTGCAGTAGGAAATTTAGCTGAAGTTAGTATCTAATCTAGCTGAAGTTTCAGTAAGTTACAGATCACATTCATTTAAAGCGTACTATTTAGCTATTATGCTAGCTAGTTAGCATACCCACTATACCACACGTGTCAAGCTCCAGTCCACGTGGGCTAAAACACTGCTGGCTTCAGCACACTGCTTCATTAAACACACCTGATTCAGCTCATCAGCTAATTAGTAAGGCCTTCATGAACTGAATTCAGAGCGTTAAATGAGAGTAAACGCTAATCTCCACAGCACTTTGGCCCAGAAGGTCCCCAGTTTGACATGCATGCACTATACAATCAACAGACTAAACAAATGATTTTGTTTCTTTCTTATAAACAATGCATTTACTGCAGAGATGCTGTACTCAAATCGGTCTCACAACCCACAAACTCAAGACTCAACTTGTACTCACATGAATTAACTCATGACCATGTTTCTAAAACTCAACCTTATCTTTATTTCTCAAGTGTGGCTTCAATTCTGCCTTAAGTTGACTGGATTTTTGCCAACATTCTATAAAGCTTGTCCAATCCAGCAGCAGTTGCTATGAAATAATGCATGTTTTGGGCGGAGCATGGATGAGTCAATTCTAAGCAGTAAATATGTTCACATCCAGTCCAAAAACCTTTACTGGCCTGTTCCTGAACGTCCCTGCCCAGTTCCCTTTCACTTTATGTATACTCAATGTTCCTCATCATGCTATTCAATTTCCAGTGATGACTCAGTATTAAGGCCCCATTTCGCACTTGTGTAGCTCATCATAATGCAGATTTAGGAGGACAGGACCTCTGTGACTCAGCTATGCTCTCATGCTCTGCGTAATGATGTATCACAGTTATCTGAAACATAGAAGCTTCCTTCGGGACAAGGAGGCCATGCTCACAGGAGGAAAAGGAAGAATTCGTGTAGTCAAAGAGATGCTTGGGTCATGGCCCGTGTTGATCAACTCTTAACAGGATGTAGAGGTTCATAAAGATGTCATGATTCCTCACTCAAAGCAATTGACACTTCTTTTGCCAGTACATTGTGGTTCTTCAAGCACGTACCTTGGGGTATCCATGCTGCTAAGATCTACAGGTTGTATGGGGAAACTGGAAGCTAAATGGACAGTGAGATGTGTCTTTTTGGTTTTCCATGCATAGCCTGACATCAGAGTAGAGGCTAAAATAGAATGGTAACAATAAAGCTGATCCCTACATAAAACTGATTGTATTTTTTTTTTTCATTTATTTGTGTATTTTTTGTTCTTGAAAGTGAATTATGGTTATTCTGCATATGATAGTTTGGACCACGTGCTATACTGTTCATGTGCATGGTACCAACAGCAAAGCCAGTAAAATAAATATAACATTCTACAGATAAAAATACTTGAATCAAGTAAAAACATTTTTTAAAAAGTTGAAAAGTCTTGAACAGTGAGAACAGTGTTCTTGCTTCACTCTCATAATGTGAAATCTTACATATATTGACTAGATTTGAGATGTTTTAACTTGCTAAGGTGTTTAACTTTCAGTAGTGGTTTGGTAGGTTCTTGATTAGTTGACATAGGTGGAAATCAAGCCTTTTGGTTAACATAAACCTACATAAAAATTTATAAAGGCTTATTCCAATCAGCGTCATCAGTCATAAAAGTTGCCTTTGCCAATATCAAAACTGACATATCATCTACATCAGTTTGTTAAATTGACATAACACCTTGCATGTCAACTTGCAAAAGTGACACTTATATCAACTTGACATTAAGGTTGACATAAGCAACCTTTACAGATGATGCCTATTGGAATAAGCCTTTATAAATGTTTTTGTATGTTTACATCTGTTGTCACTGATGACTTATGTAGGTGTCATGTAGCCTTATGAATACTGCCCTTCAGGAAAATGATACCAAACTTCTTAGCCAGAGACTGTCCTAGTCTGATTGACGTCTGATAGTTGTTGGGTCCATTGTTTTATGTTCTTGAACTGCAATTCCTAGAGCAGAAGCCTTACCTCCAGTCAGCATCAGGGCACACTTGCAGCTGCAGTTGTCGTTGTCCATGTCTTTGGTGCTGAAGTCCGCACCATGGATCACCAGACTACTCTGCCTTCCTGCTGTTCCACTGTGGCTCTTTAAGGACAGCCTGAAAGGGGATACAGGGAGTTGAGACATTGAAGCCATGACCCTAAACCAACATTATTCATACTACAGGCCTGCATCTCCAATCTTTTTGATGGAAAGGACTGGGGAGGAGAGGGAGGAGACAGTCAGAAAGATCTCAGTAAATCAGAGCATGTTAAGCCCATCTGGCAGTACCAGATAGCAGGATATCATTACAGGCACTATCAGGCATGAGAGCGCTCAGAGCCATGTCCCTCCACTGAAGCTGACCCTAGTTTGTCCGCCTGATGTCTGACACGTCTGTGTCTGCACAGTGTGTGCACACTGTCCCTCCCCTCTTCGTTTATTACAGTCGGGCCGTGGCGGAGATGAGCGCTGTATTAGGCTTCATCTGTTTGTGTCAGAGTTGAACACGCACTTAAAGCAGGGGGGCAGTGTGTACAGGGGCTGTGCAGTCGGAGCCGAACATGTGGAAGGTGTAAATCAGGGGCCCTGAACGGAGGTGCTGAGAGATGCTGAGAGACAGAGGCAGGGGAGTATACTGGAGACTTTCTGCTGAATGTGCAGATATGTTTATTGCATGCATTATGAGTAAATGTAGCTGCTTGGTAATAACAGAATACAAATGCAAAACAACTGGGAGTGTTGAACTACTAAAAAAATAAGCTACTAAATATGTCATCGCTTCCTTTCAAGTTCAGTGAAAAGTCACATTTACACAATTTTCACCTTCATCCAAATTAGTTAGTAGTTAATCAGCCAAGACATATTTGCTGTCCTTCTAAGGACATTTCCTTCTTTAGTTTTGTATGGAGCTATGAGGTTTATTTAGTGAGCAAGCAATGGCAGATTGAGTAATCAGGAGAGTCAGGAGTATGTGTGTTAATGTATAAACTCATGCATATGAGCAAGAGAAACGCTTAGAAAAACTATAAATGTTACATCCAAGTCTAAGGCTTATTATTCAGTAACTACAGGGACTTCGATACAAACTGGTTAAGCTATTCTTAGGTTATAGAAGTGTATAATAAAACTATAACAAAACTATAGAAGTCTATAATAAAACAGGGCCTACTGCCAGGCCATGGCCAGTTAAGGGGTTAAACCACCAGCTGCTACTTCAAGTGGTACAGCCTCGGTTTGCTGATTGCTGAGACTTGTATAATGTATAGAAAAAAGATGAGGCTGAAGTTTTTTTATTTTTATTACCCATTCCACCATAAATGATGTAGCAGCTACACTCAGATGCCTGGATGAAAGCAAGCATGTAACTGTTGCACTATATAAGATGGAATGTAAATTTGAATAAGTAGCTAACATCAGCCTCAAGAGAGTAGTGTATCAAATTCAGGGCAGCTGTTTGGATCTGTGAATCTAGTATTGGCTGACACAACAGGTAGACTCCACAGATTTCATTACTTTTTTCCATTACTCATGTATCAGTTTTTATAGCGGAATCATGTGAAGGTGACAGCAGTGGCAATAACTGCAAAAAAACAAAAAACCAAGGTGGTACAGAGAAGACAAGAATGAAAAGGCAATTTAAAGAGGATGAGGACATATCCAAGCAAGTGGGCAGTGAGAAATGCTGTCCTTAACTTCGCTAGCATTAGTTTGTAGTATATTGACTGTCATTACTGCCAGCTTCCATTTTACCACCGGCTACTCGCCTTGGTCATCTCATTACAGCATATAAATTACAAATAAAGTTAGAAATGAAAAAGATGGAGGTGCATAGATTTTATTTTGCAATGCTGTATGTAGATGATGGTTTATCTGGTATAACCAGATATCAATATTATTATTATTATTATTATTGTTATTATTATTATTATTAGTAGTAGTATTATTATTATTAATAATAATAATAATAATAATAATAATAATAATAAATTATTTTTAAGATATGATTTTTGTCATTATCTTTGTACTGGTATGGCACAAATAATTGCCTATAATGCAACATACATACAGTGCAAAATACACTCTCACCTCCCATGTAGTGAGTTGCAGTTTGAAGAAAGTTAGTGCAGTTTGCTGTCAAAGGAGCAGACATCACATTGTAATGAGTTAATGAGTCAAAGTAAGGGGGGGGGGTGGTGGAAGAAAAAGCCTTGGGTTCTCACTACAAGCTGAGAGGCTCCACAGCTTCTCAGCTAATACTGATAGCATAAATGGCTTGTAATATTTGCCAAGTTGAGGCAGTGTTTGACTGTCATAGTTGCAAGCTTGAGCAAAAGAGACGGACATACAAGACAAATGACTTGAAGCATCTGGATGTAAAACACCAACATTTAGCACCATTTTTGCTGTTCTGCTGCACTCATCTTCATCTTATTAGGATTGGAAAGCATTATAGACATCTGTACATATTGTTCATGTCTGTTTTTACTGTTTTGCCCAATAAAAATATTTTAGATTTCCCTCAGTTAAATATGGGTCTTATTAAAAGTGAAAGGGCCTTCTAGAATAATATGCCACTGTTATAACTTTCTGGCCATACCACCCACTACTACTAACAATTACCAATTAGTATCGTGCAAACTGCATGCCTAAATCATCACAGACTGCAAACTATGCTGTTACAAACATGACACCAAACATCTTGACTCGTCTTGACTGGTTAACTGTATTTGGGCTAAGAGGAAAATTTTGTAACTGCTTTAAATAGTAAGCCTAATAAACCTTTTAGGGATGGATAAGTTTTAGTTGGGGATCATCAAACCTAAGTCTGAATATTCAGTAGACATGGCCAAGTAATGTTAACAGATTGTCACTGGAACTATGTAAGACAAATTCTGCAAGAATCACCAGCCTATTTCTTTTCATTTCCTCTGTTTAGCATCTATGTGGTAAGTAAAGATCAGCATGTCTTGACATAAATGTTGATAAAAGCAGCCTTTATAAAAGATGACGCTTTCCTGAATAAGCTTTTATGGATCATTATACTGAGATGAGTTGGAAACTCATTTTGGAATTTTGACTGATGTAACTTTAGAGTAAAATCCTTTTACTTTGAGTGACCCTGTACCTTAATTATGTTTATTTTATTAAAACAAAAGTTTGAGGATTCCATTTTGTCACTACCAAAACAATCATAATGCTACCAAGTGTTTCTGTAGTGACTGTTTTGGTGGTGACAATTTTAGCTAATTTTGAGCATAACTGAAAAACTTCAAAAATGTGTGTTTCAGTAGTGACAATTCTTTAGGTTACACACTGATTTTCAGACTTTGGGACACATTTATGTCAAAACAATGGTATCTAACTGCTCACCATGTGGCCATGAGGGACAGGGATGCAGTCTCACTTCCTGCTCTAAAATGCAGGGGTGTGGCTAAAATAAGACTCTGTCTATGGACTAAAACTCTTTATGTTTTGGTAGTGACATGAAAATACATGACAGAATTTTCTGAATAAAGTTTATTTAATTAAAAAACTGAACTAATCAATCTTATAATCTAATAGTACATTGAAATCTTTAACTTCACTTGTAGAATGATCCTTTTAAATGTTCATAGAAGTGTATGTCTGTGATGATGAGCTCATGTAGGTGCCATGTGGCCTTATGAATGCTGCCCTACAGTAGTGTTACCAATTAACGCAAGCTTGAACTCTAGAAAATATCTCATTTGGATAGCATCCAGGTTGCCCTATACAGTGTTGGAGCTTCTCTGTTGACCACAATTCTCACAGTATCGGGTGATGGTTGGCCCTTGGTCTCCCAACCTGCCTTGACCCTCCTCATTAAAGATTTTGCCTGGGGTATGACTTTCTCTTATTCTTATTATCCGTTCACTAGGGGCTTTCTCTCCAAACATGAATGCTCTGAGCCAGAGAACAACACTGCAGAACCATGCCAACAAGGAATGAGGAACACCAAATGAAACATGCTCAGTCTCACAAAATGGTTTCCTGAAATCCACCCCTCTTAATAGGAATAGACAAGAGAGAATGAGTGTTATAAATCTCACTTCAGATGAAGCTTGGAAAAAGAATAGGAAAATGGATTGTGCTTTTTGTGGTGTTGAAGGCTTTTTGCGATACACTAAGAGGGTGGTGATGCAATGTAAGGGATTGAGGAGCCAAACTTGTGGTTGTTATTGTGATGGCTCTGTGGGAGTTCTATTGTTCTTTTGTATCGTTTCTAACACTTAATCGATCCAGCAAGCTTCCTGGTCACAGGTTACCTGATCACTGTGAAGCCACACACTTCAAACATTCACATCAACGATCAAGACGTGAGGTAATATCTCCAGCTTACATGGCAATTACAATGCAGAACAAGACAAATGAGTTGCTTGTTTGGAGACGTTCTGTAAACTTGCTTTGTCAGAGCAATAAGATTTGTGTTCACATCCTCGCCGAAAACATGTCAGCAAACACAAAGGCATATTTCCCCAGTCAACAAGACGGTTTCAGCTTCAGTCAACAATATCGCTTCAGTTGGAAAATACCTGGGCAATTGTACTTTTCTACTATATTTAGTGGTGGACAAAGTACCATGCACTCTTAAACAAGATGGTTCTTCAAGGGTTCTTTAGTAAAGACAGTGGTTCTACATAGAACTATGAAAATACAAAGAAAAGGGTTCTATATAGCACCAAAACGGTTCTTCTACTGTTACAAGTTTGACATCGTAACAATAGAAGAATGCTTTTTTGTTGGTATATAGAACCATTGTGTGTTATCATGAAATAACATCATGGCTGTGATGTTACTCACGATAACACATGACCTCGAGTGTTCTATTGCTTTTATACAACAGTTAAATAAATAAAGTAAGAAATAAGTAAACCGGGCCATGAACGTGGCATTTAATATGTTTTAATGTTAGCAATTCCTTCCACAAAATTATAGTTCCTTAACAAGCAGCTTGTTGCTACATCAGAATAACAAACTTGGCTCACTCTGCACAGTCTGCTGTAAACCTTGCCTTTTGAAGTACAGACTGAGCCATAAAACCGCCACAATATCAAGTTTAGCTCAGTGTTGTCTTTTTTAGGACCACTGTCTTTACTA